TGTTAAATGCAAGAATTATATTTTTAGTACGGACACTCAGCATGTGGAAAATTCATGCAAAGTGAAGGTATATTCCTATAATGTTATAATCCTTTTTGCTACAGGTTTATAAATTTATAGCATGAATTTAAGCCTGCAATTTTAAAGTACTTATTATTACAAGGCTGTATAACAGCATCTCTTTCCAGATTTAATTATGTTTTGTTTACCCCAAAAAGGAAGATATACAAGTAATTTAGCATATTAAAATATGCTTCAAGTTGGCAACCTTGATTATTTCAGAAAGTATTAATATACATGATGTTAAGCATGCATTAAGTACTGGGCTTACATGCCACTAAAAATTTCTAATGAAATTTTCAGATGCAAAGTTCTGTGTATTAACTAAAAGAAAACAGTATAGTGTTTCCTCTAATGCAGGGGTGTCAAACTCAAGACCCAGGGGCCAGATCCAGTCCGCAGGGTGCTTAGATCTGGCCCACAGAGCCACCCTGGAAACAGCGAAGGACCAGCCCACAGAACCTCTGCCAGCGAAAATGGAGCTCGCAAGAACTCCACCTGTACCTGAGCTCTGTTTTTGCTGGCAGAGGGTTGCAGGAGGTCATTGCAGCGGAAAATAGGCTCGGGAGCCCGTTTTCACTGGAAGAGTGCTCAGGCCACACAGGTGCTCCCAACACGAGTGATGGTGAGCTGGCCATGCCCACACCAGCCCCCGAGATAAAACAGAACCCTGATGCGGCTCTCAATGAAATCAAGTTTGACACCCCCTGCTCTAATGTATCATTGCCTTGGCTTTGTATTGGCACACATCACAATCATACAAAACACAAATGTAATGCTTTAAAAGTCTTAAAAAGTGGTGAGAATTCTATTCTTGTTCATATCTGTATTGCAAAATCACATTTAAAATAAGGCATGAGAAGGCATGAGAAGGAATAATTGCTTTATCCCTTGAATACTGACTGATGAAACTTCTGATAGCCAACTTGGTATAATGGTTAGAGCACCAGGCTAGAAACCAGGACATTGTGAGTTCTGATCCTGCCTTGGACACAAAGCCAGCTGGATGACCTTGGGCCTATCAGTCTTTCACAGGCCCTAGGAAGGAGGCAATGGCAAACCACTTCCAAAAACGTTTGTCAAGAAAACTGAAAGGGGTTGTCCAGGCCAGTGCCTCCCCCGGGCTCCTGGGCCCAATTCCATGGACCGAAGGGGGCATGGTTTTGCATGTTGCCTGCGTCCTGTAGATGAGGCTTTGTTTGTTTGCAAAGCCTGGTTTCTGGCATGCTGCAGCCTGGTGCCACTCCACAGACTGGGGTTTGGGGACCCCTGGTCTAGGCAGTTGCCAAAAGTCAATCAGAACAATTACTGATAACCTTAAAACCTAGAGTATTTTGACCCTGGTGAGGTTTGAACACATAGGAGACAATTCAGATTTCTTTACCAGGTAGTAGAAAACTGTGGCCTTCCAATTATTTCCTAAATTATAACTCTCAACATTCTTCAGTATATTATTCATGCTGCCCTGAGCTGTTAAGAATTGTAATTTAGCAAGTTGGGAGTGTTAAAGGTTGTCTACTCTCACCCACAAATGTTATAGGTAATTAAAAATGTCTATCAGGTACAGAACATACTAGAGATATGTAATTTGGAATATAACATATACTTCTTCAAATAAATTTAATTTAGGGTTATGGAAGGTGGTCAGAAGAGGATCTATGAGCCGCGTGCCATATAATACCTATTCCTTCCTAATTTGCAGTCTCTGCTTAAAACCTGTGGGATGGTTTATGAGTTATACGGATAATCTTTGAGTCATAATGGTAATTGAGAATGGTATTTCTATTGCTAAGCAATATAGCTGTAAAATGCAATGTCACATGACTATATTGTTTAGTGACGGCACTCTCCATTGTCATTAATCAAATACCAAATTCCACCCAAGAACCCACATCAATCTGAGGTATTCTGGCTTGGTTTCTCTCAGCCCTGAGCCTCAATTCTTCCAAGGTAAGGAAGAATGCCTTGCTTTCAACTTCCCACAACTCCCCACTCCCCCCATCTCTGCCCTTTTGGCTGCCCGGCACTCTTACCTGTGGGACAGCAAGCATGGAACTGTGTGATTTTGGGCTGCTTGCCAGTCTGCAGTTGAGGGGCTTCTTAGCATGCCACAGCTCTAGGGCTGTAAGAAGCCCCTGAGCCACAACACAGTGTGAAGCTGCAGCCAACCCTGGAAGCTGCAGCCATCCCAGCAGTGCAGCCTGGTGTGAAGCTGCAGCTGTGCACACAGAAACACAGTAGAACAGTGCAAAACTGCAGGCGAATTTGGGAGGGTCAGTTTATCCCAGTAATGCAACACAAAGCCACAGCCATTTTGAGAAGAGCCTCAGGTGTCCCAGCTGCACAACTGCCCTTGCCTTTCTGAACTCCAAAGCTCCTGCCTTGTGCTTTGCTGCTCCAGTTGACCTTTGCTGTTTTCTTGCCCCTGCTGCTGCTGAGGCCTGCCCACCTGACCCTTTGCAAGACACCTGCTGGCCATGTGGGACAATCTTTTCCAGGTCTCTCAAGGAAAATGTTGTGTACAATCTTAATTTAATTAGGTGCTAAGAGGTTCAACATATATTTATATATATTCTAAAAAAAAATCTTTTGAATCTGAATCTGAGCAAAACTTATCAGCAGCCCAACTGAAGGATAGTTTATAGATAGTAGTCTGCAAGCTACTAGTATATATAAGCAAATCCCATATTCATTTGCTCTGATGTTACTTAGTTGGCTAATGAAATGTCTGCAAGCAAGTAAGGTCAAAGAACACCAAGAATGTCACAGTTCAACGCTGAGCTACACATATTGTCTACTATTAGGTTAATATTAATGGTTATAGAATCAACTTACTTTTAATGCTTCTTATTAAAAATGAAGCATGGTTCCTAAGACAGTATCACTATCTGAAAAAGTAGCTAACATAGCAATTCACCAGAGATGAAAAAGAAAGGTGGTATCACTATGCTGGAAAAACATAACAAAAAGTAACACTAACACATATCTGGAGTAAGGTTTTCTTTTTTTCCAGAAGGGTTGCATTCCTATTCTCTTACAAGAAGGGCAGCATTTCCTATGAACAGGTTACATATTGCTAACACAAGTATTTGTTATGAATTTATTTATGGTTAGTATTTAGGAAAGCAGCTGGCAAGTCTCCCATTTACTCAGATACACTTCATTTTAACACTAGGCAGCGATGAATTACAAAGGATATTTGTACTAATGGAGAAAAACTGTACAAAGAAACTTGCAAAGTTACCCTTATAATGATCAGTGGTCCTTGGTGCTTTGCCAGCTTGATCTTGCAGACATTTCACTACCCAAACTAGGTAACATCATCACCCCTCATCTCAACCCTGAACTACAAATATTCTCCTTTAAGATCAGTAAAAAAAATCATATTGTAGAAGAGAATGATAAAGGCTTAGTTATTAAACCTACATTTCTAGTTAGTACATTCTCTTTGGACTTGAGACATTTAGTTATTTAAACCAATGATTAGGTAATTAATTGATTTCCATCAACAGAATATAACTTACATAAATGTAAAGAGTTAGAAGTCTAGAAGGGGGGGGGGGACATCATAAAATGATATTTTCTTTTTAAAGGAGAAAAATACTCCATCAATGTTGTTGTGTGCAAATTGGGATTTTTCAACAGGAATTTTACTTCTTCAAAAGTCACAGTCACAAACATATTTTTGTCAGAAACAATCCTTTCAATTAATCACATTTTCAACATTTAAAATAGCCCATAATCGGGTCATAATCCGAAACATTACACAGGAACAACCTGAATTAAAGATTAGGTTCCTAAAAAGGTTCTGTTTGGAAATTCTTAAGATCAAAATTCAGCAGCATACTTTTCAAAGTACTAGCTCCCCATCTGAAAAAAGTGGAAAGCTTGTGGGCAAAATAACAGGAAGGGTGTGGGAGCATTTGCAGGGCTTGGAAGGAATTAGTTATATTTGATTATTCAGGACAGTAGAGAAGGTGGTTGTAACTCGAGGGGTGCTGCCAAATAAAGTAAGGGCAGACGCCTGGTTTCTCCTGGAGGTGGAGAACTGAATATTAGGGACAGGCAAAATTCCTACCAGCAAGGTTACCGACAAACCAGGGGAATCAAAGACTGAGCCCTCTTCCCCAAAGCCACGGGGCGTATGAAGAAGGCCTTCAAGGGGGAAACGGAGCAGAGAAGAGCGAGGATGGCCCCTTACCGTGATTATCCTTGAGGCCGATGATGCCCTGCGTGCGGATGAGCGCCGACAACCTCCTCACATCCCCCTTGAAGACGCACTCGTGCACGGGGAACTGAGCGCTGGGGGCCTTGATGGGCTCGGGGGTGGAAGCGGCGAGGGAAGAGCCCCCGCCGGATCCTCCTTTCAGCGGCAGCCGGTGATGGTTGCTGAAGATGCGGTGGGTCGAGCCGCGGCCGCCTTTGCCGCTTCCCGCCCGGGCGCTTGTGAAAGCGCCTCCGCCAGGCGCGGCCGCCGCTTCCTCCTCGCCGGGCCCCAGCAGGTCCCCGTCCTCCTTGTTGGGCTTGTGATCCTTGCGCAGCGAGCGCAGCTTCTCTCCGGTCATCGCCAGCGGCGGCCCCGGGCGTTGGGGGGCCACGATGGGAAGACACGGCGCTGCAAAAGCTGCGGAGGGCTCGGGGCGCTCAGAGCCGCGGCGGCGAGTCCCGTCCCGTCGGCATTCCCCCAGCCGGGGACACTCCGCGAGCGGAGAATCTCTGAATCCAGCCGAGCGGTGTCGCCTCCTCCTCCTCCTCCGCTCGCCGCTCCGCTCTCAACAGCTCGACCGCGCTGCCATCTTGGCGGAGGGAATCTCGCGAGAGGCGGAGCGCTCGGACGAGCGAGATCACAAAAGGTATCGCGAGACGACGGTTACCCCTAGAGATGAGTGGCGGGGAGGAATTCCGGCGCGAGAAACTGTCGGTGACGTGGTGCGGAGGGCAACGGTTGGGGAACGCCTGTCTCCTGGGCGGAGCTGTAAAGCGCGGGAACTTCGCCGAGCGGATTCTTCGCCCTGCTGTTGAACGAAGAACTGCCGTGGAAAAGCCGCGTTCGGCCGAAAAAAAAGGAGCGTTGGAGTTACAGGCCCCGTGCGCTGTTTCCAAATAGCAAATTGGGCATCTCAAACGAATGAATACAGAGCATCGGAGCGGATTCGCTGTTGGGAGTCCCCGCGTGGAGCTACAACAGGAGAGGCGGACTGAAAACAAACTCAGAAGAATCGGATGTACTACTAGTCAAGGTACGAACAATTCCCCCCTCCCCCGTTTCTTAAAAAAAATGCCGTAAATAACGAAACTTTCTTGCTCTTGAGTCATTCTTAAGACTCCCTGGGCTGATTCCTACAATCATTTAACCAAGATACCACAAGTGGTTTGTCGTTCCTTGCGGCTTAGAAACAGTGATCTAAGTGAACGGATACCTGTTTTTTTGTTTTCTTTTGTTTTGAGTTTGGCGAACAGGCTCCGAAATGGCCAGGCTACAATCCCTTGCTTGCTGCAATCTAGCTTTGAATGCAGGCTAGTCTGGCGTCTCAAAAAACGGGTGGGGGTTTCTGATCTTGTTTTTTCGTTGCCAGACTGTTTAACTTTCTTTAACGTTTACTTGATGCAGAATGGGAAGGGTCTGCATACTGATATTGATGTAGTTTATATACCGTAGGTCAAATCATGTTGGTTTTTTTTTTTGTACTGTAGGAAGTTAGCGCCCATCCGTCTCCTAGAAAAATAGGAAATATTAACAGGGCAGAATATTTCCCCTAAAAAGAGAAGTAGAAACTAAGAGAGGCAAAAGCTCACTGTCCCTCTCCCACCTTTGTTAATGGGCCATTAAAGCCTGGGCCAGACTAATCTACATAACAAACATCCCATTTCATTGCACCACCCACCATGTTTCAACCAAACTTAGCACACAGACAACCTACAAAGCTAGCTATGACCTCTGATAGCAACCAATCAGGATACTCTTCCTGTGCCCCGGGAAGTTCAGGGCATAAAACCCAGGGAATTTCAGCATCTTTTCCCTTTTCACCCAGGAACTCCAAGGCATGTGAGCCTGTCCACTATTAAACTATTTTTCCAAACAGCCTCCATGTTTCCAGTGTATTTTCCCCTACTTGGAACTGAACCTAGATGGACATTTCTTCCAATGCTACTTGATCAGTACCAGCATATTTTTGTGATATTTTTTGTCTTGTCCCAACTGTTGGCTTATCTTTTACAATTTTCCCTTTTTCTTTTGATTCTAATTATTGCCTACTCTTTATGCTATATTTTTCTCTGATCATTGTAGTAATACGTTGTAAAACTTTGTATTCTTTAGTACATGTTCTTACTTGATTATTGATGCATACACTTTTCAATATGTTTTTGTACAATATCTTGCAATCTTTGATAAAGGCTATTAATGTCCAAAAATAAATATTATTATAATATATTAAAATAAAACATTTTTAACTTAATGTTTTAACATTTTGACTCCCAGAATAAGCACTTGGTCTTATTTTTGGGGAGGTCTTATTATTTTTGAGATGCAGGAGGCGGCGAGCATGGTCACCTCATGGCTGCTGCTGTGTTGCAATATTTTTGGGGAGGACTTATTTTCAGGGAAACGGTGCGTTATAAAACTTTGCATTCTTTATTGTATGTCCTTGCTTTGTTAACAACGCATAAACTTTTCAACAAGTTCTTGTACAATTTTTTTTTGCAGTAGCCCTTAAAAGGATGAAAAGGCAACAGAGTTTGGCAGATTTTTTCAATAAGAAACCAAAATTGGAATCAATTGTATCAGAATTGGCCTTGGATGGTACAAAACGGTCACAAGCACAACCACTCCAACCTGAAGAAAGCAGCACATCAATTATCGAAGTAAAAAACGATAACTCCAACATTAAAGAGATACAACAAGCTTCTCCAAAGAAAAAAATGAAAGAAAATTTTTCATCAGAAAACATTGGTAAGGAGAACTTAAAACAATATTTTTTTGTCTTGTCCCAATTGTTGGCTTACTTTTTACAATTCTTTCTTCTGCCTATTCTTTATTCTATAATTTCTGCTGGTGATTGTAATACCGTGTATCCCAGAAAATAAGATAGGGCCTTATTTTCTTTTGACTCCTGGAATAAGCGCTTGGTCTTATTTTCGGGGAGGTCTTATTATTTTTGAGATGCAGGAGGCGGCAAGCATGGTCACCTCATGGCTGCTGCTGTGTTGCAATATTTTTGGAAAGGGCTTATTTTCAGGGAAAGGGTACGTTATAAAACTTTGCATTCTTTATTACATGTCCTTGCTTGGTTGTCAATGCATAAACTTTTCAATAAGTTTTTGTACAATATCTTGTAATCTTTGATAAAGGGTATTAAATGTCCATAAATGAATATTATATTAAAACATTTTATTTATTTATTTATTTTTGCAGTGGCCCTTAAAAGGATGAAGAGGCAACAGAATTTGACAGATTTTTTCAATAAGAAACCAAAATTTGAATCAGTTGTATCAGAATTGGTCTTGGATGGTACAAAACAGTCACAAGCACAACCACTCCAACCTGAAGAAAGCATCACATCAATTATTGAAGTAAATGATAACTCCAAAATTAAAGAGATACAACAAGCTTCTCCAAGGAAAAAAATGAAAGAACATTTTTTCATCAGAAGCTCATAACATTTGTAAACAGAACTTAGAACAATGTGAGCAGGAGTCAATGACCAAAGGAAAGATGAATGGAAAATATTTACGTACTAGTAAAGTATTTAATACAGTTTACAGCCTAGCAAAAAAATGTAAGTCGTTTTCAGACATACAAAAAGAGATAGAAGTGCAAATTAAAAATGGATTAGATATGGGAATTGGGTTACAGTCACGTAAAACTGTTGTGAAAATAGTTGATTTCATTGCAAAGGCAATTAAAAAAGCAATATTTACTAAAATTGTTGAAAATAATCTGAATATTTCTTTGATTATTGACAAAGTCTCTACAATATCTTCCAAACCAGTTATTATAGTTTTCTTAAAAGTTGAGGATTCAGTTACATCGCCAACAATTTTCGTTGAGCTAATTGAATTGGAAAAACAAGATGCAGACACAATATGTTCTGCAGTTATGGAAAGTTTAAATAATGTTGGGCTTGCTAAGAACTACCTAGAAAAAAATTTAATAGGATTTTGCTCTGATGGTACCTGCGGTCTGCTTGGGATAAAATCTGGAGTGACCACTAGGATAGAAAAAGAGTTTCCAAACATCATAATATGGCATGGTTTAAACCATCGCCTCCATCTTGGTTTAGATGATTTAATGAAAGAAATAAAGCTAGTAAATAATTTTAAAACATTTATTGATAAGATACATACTATTTTTCATCAGTCCAATAAAGACCAAATTGAACCTACCAAAATATCTGAACAACTTGGAGTTGAACTTATAAAGATTGGTAGAGTTTTGGAACCATGGGCTGCCTGTACTTTAAGATCAATCCTAGCTGTGTGGCACGCTTTTCCAGTGTTAGAGGACTATTTTTATTCAAATGAAAAGTACTTGGGTATGGCTACCCGTCTTGAGAATATATATGTTATAACTGATTTGGCTTTGATGATTGATATTTTAAATGAAATTTCTTTTCTCTCAAATGCACTGCAAGCAAGAGATATAGACATAATAAAAGCTGAAAAACTCATGATAAGATCTATTAAAGCATTTCAAGTGCTTGGAAAGGAAATGGGTGCATACGAAAAAAAAGTTGATGAATTAATTACTTCAGAAACCTTCAAAAATATAAAATTTGTAGAAAATCAGCGATTTGTCAGACTTCCTCGGGAAATACTTTTAGAAAACATCGTAATGAGTTTGGAAAAAATACTAATGGATTGCGAATATTTAAACGCAAGTTGTAACCAGTTTAAAGACAGTAATATATTACAAATTCTCAAGTTTTTGGACCCAGATTATTGGAATACTGAAGAAGTATGTGTTCCATGGTATGACGGTGAATGCCAATTGTACAAATTTAATAACATTTTTAATCACAAAATTGATATTAATGATTATCGAGATTTTGTGGAAATAGAGTTAAATATTTCCTGGAGGCGTACAATTCCGGAAAGTGTTCAAAGAGCTAAAAATATTATCAGAACAATTGTTGTAAGTTCAGCAGAGGTGGAAAGCATTTTTTCAAAGATCAACATAATATGTTCAGGGAAGAGAAGTCGCCTAACTGTTTCTAACATATCAAACATGATGACTATTAGTCTAATTGGCCAACCTCCAAAGGAATGGGATCCTACTCCTACAGTGAAAAGATGGTTAAGGAAGAATCACAGAGCCAATAATGCTCGGATAAGAGCAAAGAAAATTGCAAGTTAGGACACCAATCAAGAAGCAATATGGAAATACCTCACATCACAGTTTTATTGCTTTTTGTTGGGTATTGTTTAAGATTATTTCATTAATATTTTAAAAGTCTTATAATCTAGTTTGTGTACCTCTAATTGTTGTATTTAAGTATTAAATGCTTGAAATAATAAACTATCTTTTGGTATATGTTTTTTTAATACTTGAAACGGTCATTAGGGCAGAAACTATTTGAATCCCACCACTGCAGGTAGCCATCAACATGACTACCAGAATTATAGTTGTAAGTCATGCTGGTTGTTAAGTTGATCATCATGTGGATCATGCATAATTTTACAGACTTTGTTTTGGTGGTTGTAAGCAAATGCCACGGTCATTAAGCAAACTCATTGCACTAGGTTGTCTTTTGACAACAGCCAGAAGTAAATGTTGGTATGTAGTCTATGTATTAGACCCCCAATGTAAAAAAAAAATCATATAAAAATGATTAAATGTCTAAAATATGTCTCTCTAACTCTTAAGGCTTTTTCACCCAAGCTTTTGGAAGATGACGGGTGCCCATTTCTTTTCTGCCCCCCCCCCTCTTTTTCCTGGCTATCGTTCTTCATTTGTCTTATGCCCTTTTTTACTTTTTGTATTGGTTTTTTTTAATGTTTAATCGTCGTAAACCACCCAGAATTGCTGGTAATTTAGCAACATATAAATTTAATGCAATGTATTATGGTTTGATGTGGTCAGCCAGATGTTCGGGTTTGGCATTTTTAAACACCTATCCACTATTATTACTGGATTTGGCATTTTAGTCCACTTATGAGTTCTTCCTAAGAACCTGTGATAGGCAGGTGTTGCTTAATAATTCATTCTGAAATAAATCCAGCAAAAACTAGAGTACAACATTCATGTCCTATTATAATATTGAGTTCAAATAAGATGAAATCTTCAGTTTCCTGATTATACAAACTGCAGAATAGCTGGGATTGTTGCTGGTTGATACATACACTAGACTAGAATATGAGTCAGCCAATGTAGAGAGATTCACATCAGAATAGTCAGACTTAAAACTCAACCTTCCTTGCCTCTCATAATTTATTTTATGAGACATACAATATTTTTGAGCATGCATGTGCCCAAAACTCCTGAGGAAAGATTTAATTCAACATATAATTTCCCACATAATTTTCTCTTCCTGTTAAACTAGTGTATGACAGCAAATAGATGCAATAACTGGATCTGCTTTATATTTCTTTTGCTAAGTAACAGCCCACCAGAGCATATACAGTGGTATAGTACCTAAATTAAGAATTAAAATTTTAGGATTATTCCAAGAAGCCTTAAATGAAATCTCATTTACACATGGGTATGAAAACCTTTGCTGGTTTCCTATTTGGTTGGCAACCCTACAGAACTGTCACTCATTCAGAACAGCAGATTTTATTTTTTTTTAAAACCACAATACAAAGAGGATAATAAGTGCCGAAAACATTTATATTTGTAATTGCGACACCTCATTTCAACAGTAGTAGAACTTTTTTATTTTTGATCCTCGAGATAAAAAGTGTTCAGTAACCCATTGCTAAATGCCTTCTTTCAACACTTGAGTTACATACATACATACATACATACATACATACATACATACATACATACATACATACTTTTATACTATTTATTTTTTAATGTAGAAACCTGTATTTTTATGTCTGTTTTTATATTTGTAGTTTTTATCCGATGGGTGTGTGCTGTGCTGTCGCTTTTGGTGAGACAGGCAGCTTTATGAAGTTGATAACTAACACATACGTAAATTCTAGTTATCTGATAAAACTATGCAATAATATGGATTTGAAGGAAACCTGCATGTATCACCTAAAACATGTCTGTCTTTCCATGGCAGCTATGCAATTTTAGGGAAACTGATACTTATAAAAGCTTTAGGTTGTTCACTGAAGTTCTGGTGATTTTTAAAATATGAAGTAATTATGTTCATCTTCTGCTAATTCCTGGAATCTATGCATTTTAAGATGCCAAGTATAGAATTAAAAATATCATTCACTCTAATAGGGGCTCAGCTTGGGCTCGGGGTTAGAGAGTAACTCGTAAATGATCTTTTCTTGATACCAAATCTCTGTTGCCAGAATATGATTCTCTTTGTCTTAGGATCCATCAAATATGATAGTCTCCGTAAGGTACATTAAAATTCCTGACATAAGGCAGTTTTGTGTTATAAATCAGTTCTAAATCTTTCTCTTAAGAAACTCCCTTCAGCTCAACAATAATTTAAAAAATAAAGGCTCCCAGAAATTGGAAAAGAACTCTACTTTCTTTGCTGCAAATCAAGCTCCTATCGTTTTTCTATTGACAAACATCTTTTCTTGCAATATGAAACTAGCTATAGCCTTTGACCATTCATGTTCTTTACAGAAGTCTATTCCAGGTTGCTAAGACATTTTTTTCAAATGCCTGTTTGAAGCCTCCTTTCCATACCAACTATACCCAAACAACCACAGTTGTTTTAGGCCTACTTCAAGTAGGCAACTAACCTACCTAGTTTAAGAGTACAACTGTGCTCTCTCAGAGGTTATTTAATACACAATTAAAATGTAGTCCTACATTATTTATGGACTGGATCCTGATTGAGATAATGGCATTTTTTACTGTTGCTTCCTGCATTTTTGAAATCTAAAGAAGAAAATCAAGCTTGGCTCATGCCAAACAATTTTTCAGTGGCTGTTGCCAAGGTCTGGAGTTAATAATTAATTTTGCTGTGACTGATCCAAGGGACTACCTTTTGGAAAATACTATCACAAACTATCCTGAGACAATTTTTTTCAATAATTCCAATTTGAATCTGCCCCATTATATCTTTATCATTGTGGCTTTATTAATAAAGCAATTCAGATAGTCCTCGACTTACACAGTTCATTTAGTGACCATTCAAAGTTGCAAAGGCATTGAAAAAAGTGATAGGATCGTTTTTCACTCTTACAACCATTGTAGCATCTCCATGATCACATGATCAAAATTCAGATGCTTGGCAACTGACTCATATTTATGATGGCTTGTAGGGTCCTGGAGTCATGCGATCACCTTGTGCGACCTGACAAGCAAAGTCAATGGAAAAGCCAGACACTTAACGTTACTAACTTAATAACCGCAGTTATTCACTTAATATTTGTGTCAAGAAAGGTCACAAAATGGGACAAAATTCCCTTAACAAATGTCTCAATTAGCAACAGAAATTTTTGGGCTCAATTATGGTCTACCTGTAGATGTGTACACGAAAGACAGTCTCATTGATCTAATGAAGTTTACTTCCAAAGAAACAGATACAATTAATTGTAACCCACTTTAAGATCAGTGGTTGAAAACCTAATTATAAATTTGACTCATCATCTCAAACCAGATCTTTAAAACTAATACTGTAGTACAATCCTAGAATATATATCAGCTCAGGAACCCCACTCATTTCAGTGAAATGTGCTAGGTATGAATAATATTTCAGCCTACCTTGGCAGTTGTTTTATACATGTCTGAGTTTAATCATATGTGATAGAGGGGAGGGGAGTGTTGGTCACTATCTTTTGGCCCAAACGCATTACTATTCTATGAGTAATGGCTGCACTACTTGTGATCCTAAAGAGGCTTCACAGGGTCTCTAGTAAAATTAATTCTTTATAATGGTTTTGTACAACTCCAGGCATATGCAACCTAATGTGAACAAATGTTTCATTGAAATTAATAGAACTTAAGCATCATTAAGTGATAACCCCCATCACATGTGCTTCTATTGCTTTTATTCCTGTGCCTTTAGCAGCAGATAATATTCCTGAAGAAAAGTAACATGCAGATTTCTACAAATCGATCTGCCTTTAAAAGCAGGAGAAAAGGGCAAGATTTGATTTTTAGTTGGTAAATTTGTTCCTAAGTAGACAATAATACATTTATTAAGTGGGTGGAATGTGACGCACTATTTCTTTTAGATTATTAGATCTGTAAATGAATATCTAAAAGAGATGTGAATAGAGAACTTCAATGTTTGACATACATATGCAAGTTTCTAAAATCTTTTTATGGGTCAATGTTCTTCTATTCTGTTAAATGCAAATCGTGGTTCAAGGTCTAGTAGAATATTTGGTGACCTTAAAGTCAAATTACATAAGGCAAATCCCATCCTGTTGTGCAATATGAAGAAACTGCCAACTACAGATGAAGGACATTGTTACTGTGCCAAATTGTGAGAAAAATCACATTTTGCAACTGGGATCTGGAGAAGAAAAAGTGGTACCACTTTCAATTCTCATTCTTCGATTGGACAATAATTACGTAATAGATACACACTATCTCCACAGGATACCATCTTAAGTTATCTCTTGTGAATTGGAATGTCCATATTTGCCATTATATTGAAACAAATTTTAAAAATCATAGTAATCAATACATGTTCAAAGCAATCACAATTTGTAGAAGGGATATCAAGTTATTTTATAAAGAGCAACATTTACAAATCATTGTTGCCAATGGTCATTTATTTTTGATATAAAATAAGAGTAATATTCCCTGACCCACGTAAGGACCAAAACAAATACAAACCTTAAGCTACAATTTTTCTATCACATTACATTACGGGTCAAACTGTATGGCTGTTTAAGAATTTATTTGCACAAATGTCCCATTAGTTTTGGTTCTAAAATTGTGGAAGATACTGAAAAATATCTATGGACTTTCAAGTTCCACAGTATCATAAATAAATTGCAAAATAATTCTTATTACCCTTTCATGAAATTTTATATAATTAGGATTATATTTGAAAAGTATTGCATATTAATCACTCAGTCAATTGTAAAAATATGAGGGAATGGTTTTCCAGGATTATGGTATATCTTCTTCAGTTATCACATGGAAAATTGTTATCCTGCATCACAGTTAACAGGAATTCTAAAGTGGAGGATGTACAGGAAGAAAGCCTTCTTTGCTGTTGTCCCCACCTTTGGAACATTCTTCTACCCTTTGTCTTT